CAAAATAATTGATACAAAATAAGCGAGCGATTCTACATGGCTGTCACAAACACAATTCTATCAATCAATCAATCTTGTTGCCACACATAAAGTTCAAAACTAAAGGAAGAAAAACAAAAGAAATTTACGCTGTTTGCAACAATAAAATGAAGCAAACGATACTCACATAAACACTACTACTACATTTTTTATAATTTCTCAATAGAAATAATAAAAAAAAATATTTTTCTTTTCCATTTGCACAACCTATTTGTATTAAATATGCAACATAAAAATATTAGAATAAAATTTTTTTACCATTTTAATTATCAAAATTTCAGTTATACTTTAATTCTAAAATTTAGTGCGAAATCTGAGCCTGTTTAAGAAAGATCAATATCTTTATGTTTGGTCTTCTTTCACTTTTTTAATCGTCAATTAGGATCTACTTGATTTTGTTCTGTATTTATTTATTATTATTATTATTTATTATTATTATTATTATTATTATTATTTTCGTTTCAGTTAAAAGTTAACAAGTTAACAAGTTAAAAGTTAACATTTTTGAAATCTTCAGTTAGAGCTCGATAATAGTAAATTTCTATCAATTGTTCTTTTTCTTCACGAGATAAATTTTAGGGTACATTTGAACAAAATGGTTTCGAACCCAATTTTCCTTTTCATAATCCCCGGCAAAATACATGTTGATATTATTTATCAATAAAAAACACTGATTTTTAATGTCGGATGCTAATTCTTCTTTTATTTTCAAATTATTTTCGGTTTGGAAACTTTATAAACGTGGTACAACGCTTAAAATATTATTATTCAATTCTTTGATTATTTAGCTCGAGTTTCTTTATCATTGTTCTTTATATTGTTCTTATTATCATCCTAAATTTAATTCATTTAACTTTTCAAAAATATCAGCTAAATATGCTAAAAACGCCAACCATAACTCACTAAAGAAACATTTTTGCACTTCAAATTTTGAATCAGAGAAGAAAATTTGAAACTGATGAATAAACTATCTTACTTCAGAATATAACAAAAGCGTTTCGTGTTGTTCATTCACATCTCTTTCGCATAAAACCGTAAATATTCTTGATTTCAACCTCGGCTGTTAATAAAATGAACAATTTTCACAGCTTGATTCAAAACGATTTTCAGGCTTTTGGGGATTGTTTTGTCTACTGAAGCATCGCTATGAATCGAGCAGCGCGAAAATTTAATTTCAGGTGAGACTTTCTTTATTTCAGAAATAACAGCGGAAAGTTTTCCTGTTAAAGCCCGAGCTCTCTCACTGCATGCGGCAATGCATTTATTCCAAGGAATACCATTCTCAGACATAAAATGGTCAGTTACTTTGTAAATTTTATTTGCAGCTCTGTTTCATAAAGAAATTCACTAAATAAACACTTTTGAACAATTCGTTTATCTTCTTCGAAACGTACGTAAACTAATAATTGAACAAAGTTCGTCATATCAGAACTTACTTCCAACTGCAATGCGAAATACCGTGTTTTATTTTTTGAATAAGTGTCTCTTTTATGGAATGTTTGATTTCATGAATTCGTCGACTTACTGCCAAATCCTGGTGGTGAAGAGTTATCATTCCCCACCTTTTAGTTCGGGCGCCATTGTAGAGACATTAGGTAATTTGGAAGCAGGAGTGATGAAAAGTGAGCAACGCCTTCGCCGGGAATCGAATCGCGAACCTCTGGAATACGCGCCCAGCATGCAGACCACTACACCACGAAAGCACGTTAAGAAGGCGGGAGAAATACCTTATAAATGTTAAAACGATATCTTTAGCTGCTGGTAATGTAAGATTTTCTCCAACTGTGTGAGCCTGCTCAGACTTGCCAATTCTTAGGCTTACTAGGTAACTAGCTTCCAATGCTTTTCTTTTTGAAGTAATAAAACCTTTCATTACCTGCTTACTATTTTTGAACTCCGATAATTTGCTCTTAAAATAGTCTTCAGATTTGTCCTTTAAATTAGCATGCTTAGATTCAAGATATCTTTTAAGAATCGATGGTTTCATACTTTGATTGGATAATAGTTCACCGCAAACAACACATTGAGGCTGAGGGTCCCTTTCATCTACATTCCAAATAAACCCAAATGATAAATAACTTTTATTATATTTTCTATGAAAAATTTTTCTTTTCCTCTCAATATTCTTAGTGCTAGTAAATTCTCTTGGATCTCTCACTTGTGAGTCAACCCTTTTCCGTTTAGTCAATCCAAGCCATTTTTCCATTTTGAAAAATATATGTTTGTTTCATTATTTTTTCACAAATATTTAAATACACAATATATATTACGACTTCTTCAAAAACAAACGACGATATTCTCAAATCGCGTAGAAAATTAAGGAACACAAAGCAAAAAAAAAAAAAAAAAAAAAGACAAAATACCTGCTGTTACAGACAGCGAATAGACGTAAAAAAAAGTGATTCTTAATGAAAACAGATCAATATGAAACCGGAAATGGCGGCGATTGTAGACATGCTAATAAATTGATCAACTCGAATTAATGAGGTACTTTTAATGAGGCTTTTTATAGAAGCTTATTTTTAGTTCCTACTAAATATAACATCGATTTCTATTGCTCCTTTTATAAACATCATTTACAACAAATTTTGTCATGTCTATGGCCTTCAATGCTATTAAAGTTATATGTTCTTGGGCAGAAAATTGACATCCATCAGATGGTGTGACAAAGTGCTTAATATGTATGAAAATGCAGCAGGTGATTGAAAAAATTACATTATATGGTATTTCTCCCGCCTTCCCAGCGTGCCTCCGTAGTGTAGTGGTCAGCACACTGAGTCGGTATTTCAGAGGTCTGTGGTTCGATTCTCATCGAAGGCGATTGCTCATTTTTCATCTTGCCTGCTAACAAAAAAATACGAATGACTCTACAACATGCTGGGAGTGTGTTCCCTGCATATGATGCAAAGACTCATAGGGCAAATAGACGGCGCCAGTAAAATTAGTTGAAGGCGATGAAAGTTGGTTTCGTCCGCCGTAAGAACAATTGCGGCAGAGTACTCCCACAACAGTGGATTTTTGAAGGAATATGGCGGGAAGATGGAAGTACTTTGTCATTCAAATCTTGGTAACACACTTATGAAGAAAATTATTCAACATGTGATGGATCAGCAAACTGTTCTAATATATTGGTAAATTGTTCAGACTGCTGGAAGGAATATCAAACGGAGCATCTTGAAGAAACTGGTAACCGGTTTCACTTTACTTAAACCAGTTTCTTCAAGAACCCATAACTACATTTTTGTAGATCAAACAATGGGTTTCGCACCAAAAATGTGGAAAAAATGTGAAGCAAGTGGCGTAGTAAAAAACAATGGTGCATGGCTCGACATCACTGCAAATCATAGCTTTCTGAATTTACGTGGAGAAAGTTCATAGAAAAAAAAATTTTTTTTGTTGTTGTCTTGTTCATATTACATGGAACAATGATTGCCAAAACCTACTCCGAAGAGAAGCTGGACTTCTATTTTCCACCCCCAATTTCAGGGGGGATCCGGAGGTCTCTCGCCAATCCACACGAGAGGACGTTTGGTTCGCCGCATATTTAAAGTGCCCCCATGCCGCACCGACACCATACATTTACAAACATCCATGTCTTCTCCGGGGTTCGAACCCGGGCCCTTCGGTACCGTAGTAGGCTCCTCTAACCACTATACCGTCTGGTATCATATTTCAACGAAAATATCTATTTCAGCTGCTCCTAAAATCATTTGAACGGTGTTTTTGAAGAACATCTTGTTTACTGTGGGACAAGAGATATTTTTTGAAAGCAGAAGAGATGAAAAATTAGCAATGCTCTCGCCGGGACTCGAACCACGGACCTTTCGAAAACGCGCCGAGCGTGCTGACCATTACACAACGAAGGCATGCTAAGAACGTGAGAGAAAGACCTTATATATCCCCCTTTTAAAGGGCGACTGGCGATTAGGGGACCTAATCGCCAAATACTGGTGGTGGAGAACATTATCCACCACCTTTTTTACTTCGGGCACCGTTGTAGAGACATTAGATTATTTCAAGGAAAGCAGAAGAGATGAAAAATGAGCAATGCCCTCGCCGGGACTCGAACCACGGACCTCTTGAACATGCACCGAGCGTGCAGATCATTACACAACGAAGTCATGCTAAGAAGGCGGGGAAAATAAAAGACTGTTTTTGCTAAAAACGTTGGAAAGTGAATTAAAAAGAGATTTATTTATTGACATCTGTACGTACGTATGTATGTATCGCATAACTCAAGAACGAGTAGCCGTAGAACGCTGAAATTTTGTACGTGGGACTGGTATAACATGTAATTGTGCACCTCCCTTTTTCGTTGCAATCGGCAGCATCAGTCATATATAAATATATATATTCCGTCTTTGTTCCCTGGCTCGATGAGCTTAGTTTTTTGTTCTAATATATTGGTAAATTGTATATTTTTTCTTTAAAAGTGATATAGTTATATGGTTTTTATGTTCCGGTTAAGGTTTTTATGCTTTTGTTAATCTGCATGCAATAGTTCTAGAATTAACAACAATTTAAAAATTTAGCCGGCGAAAAAAAAACATAGCGGCAACTACGTTGCCAGCATAGTCATGCGGACGGGCCTTTAATAGCTTCGATTGTTTATACTATTTTTGATTTAACATATTAACTAGGAATAAACAATAGCATGTAATATATAACACATCTCGAGACATTTACCGAGAAACTTTTCATTCGATTTTAGAATGTATAATAAAGCTACTCTAATTATTAAGAAAGTGATGAACGATAATAAAGAAAAGAAACGTAAGTGGTTACGTTTGTTAGAAACAATAAAGAGGGAATTCTTTATTATATATTGCCTCGGATCGTGGAGTCCCTATTACGGCCTTGTAGTCCATATTATTCCTATTTAATTTTTATGTGCAGTCTTATGAATCATACTCATTTTGAATAATGCTTCTAAGTAACTATTTTTTATTATCATTTTTTAGGCTTCTTCAGCAATATTGACTGCTGGGAGAAAATAAGAAATGATACCTTGTTCTGCAACGAGAAATTTGAAGAAGCTCAAAGAGTTCTACAGGATCAATCCGATCTCAGGGTTAGGACGTTCCATAGTTGTTGGTGGGTAATTAATGACTTTTTACGCAAGAGGTTGAATGCGTTTTACATGCAAAGTGAAATCTGTTTCAACCGCATTAATGCATTTATCATTAAATAATAATCTGCCCTAAAATATTCAGATTTGCCGACCACATACAGAGTACGTTAAAGTAATCGTACTGTTACAAATAGTTATAGAAGACAATTTATGAAGCAAACCAAAATCTAATTTGACATATCGTAGATAAATTATGCAAATCGTTATAACAAGCAATTGGCATATATTTACCTACGGCACATCAAATTAAACTTTAACTCTACGAGTTCTTATCACACATTACAGATGCTGTATCTGAGAGCCCTTTTTTAACGCGACATAGATCCAATGTGTAGTCTACAGGTTGGACTAAAGAAAAGAAACCCTGATCCAAGGCAGCAAATGATAATGAGTTACTCAGCTGGCCTCCAGTTAAAGACCAGTTTATACTTCTCCGAGCAACTCGTAGCGAGCCACTCGGTACGACTTCCCTGATAATGTAAACGCTCACTTCGACCGAGTAGAAACGTAAGGAAGACGAGTTAGCAATTTCGTTTCTACTGTAAAACAGTTGAAAATCTATCCGGGCAGTAAGTCCGAGCAGTGCTGACGTGGAAGGGCCGTTAACGAGTTGATTACATGTAAATGTACCCTGTATCATAATCAATGAAACATCTCGTGGAACATAGTTCCTTATTTTTCGCGTAACAAACATGTGTTGACTAGACATCCTCAGCATTTTTTGAATGTTTATTGAGTTATATTATAATGTTGCGAGGCCCCAACTTGTCAGCAACAGTAGTAGTAACTGCTATGAACTGTAAATTACACAAACTCGTAAGAAGGGTTTAAATCCCTTTTTATTCCACTTTAGAAATCACAGCTGCGTTTACTTGACGCTCACAAACTACGCCGACCCGGCGGTTTAACAAAATAGAAAAAAAGAGCAACTAAAAATAAATGACAGGATGAATAAATAACGAGATCACTACCTACGAGGCTCTATAATCGTAACTAACTTAACCGCGATCTAAGATACAGCTGAGATTCAGCAAACTTACTGATTAAGAAGTTGAAAGATTCAACGAACTGCCGAAATAGGCACACAGGCCGAAACGCGCGGTTCTTAAAATTTCCACCTAGCAACCTTCACGCTCGCGATTCAAGAAGCACACTTACAATCTCGTTTCCCTTCTATTTAAATTCAATTTACTTCTGCTAAAATTTGAATACTCTGCGCGTTCTACTACAATTTACATACTCTGGCATTGGCAATTCTAGGGGAAAGTAAAGGCTTGACAGGAAAGATAGCTTAAAATAAATGTTAGTTAAAATAAATATAAACCCTACAATATTATTAAAGAATCTTGTGGTTTATAAGCAAAATGAAAGACTATTCTATTCACAGCTCCTTCGACTGGCACAGACAATGCAGAGTGAAAGCTGCTCAAGTTAAATGCAACTGTGACGCTGCTGAACTCGTTGATTATGCTTCTACGTTATTGGGAGATCATACTCTACGGAAACTGTGTGAAAACTCATATTCCAGCTGTTATGGTGTTCTTTATGGTGTAGATGTGGAAGATCTAGATGAAAGATATGGTGCATATCGACATTACACAAGCAAAAGCAACATTTTGGACTCTCCAGTTTCATTGCTTTTATCCATTATAAGTGGAGTTTATTTTTATGTACAATAAACCTGATTTGCATTTATTTTTGTCAAATTATATTTACCTTGAGGAAGCATACCAGACATTTCAAAACCAGTTAAAACAAAGCAAATTATTATTAAAAATCAAATTTGAATAACTGAAATAATTACATTTTCGTTTTTAAAAAGACAATAAAATTTTATTTATTACGAGGATAGCTCGAAACATTTTTCATTGGTATCCCCATAACTTTTCAAAATAAAAGGCTTATCACTTTGGAAACACAAACTTTGTAAGCTTGTAAAGTCTATGTCGCTTTGGAAACATAAACTTTTAAAAGGATTCGAAGAATTATCTGCTAGCCTTTCTGAAACTAAACAGAGATCAGAAGAAGGGTGTATGAGACCCTCCTATTCAAGCATATAAAATTAACAAAGGACCCAGCTTGGGTTACAGGAAGCCAAAACTTCTGGCTTAACAGAAATAGGTAATAAATAATAATTTCAAGGTGTGGTAGGTTTGCCTAACGGCTCACGGATTGCTTGAACGCGCAGAAAATGCTCTGGCCCATAGTAACCGGCGAGAAAAGCCTAAAGGCGAGAACACATCAAACGCAAATTGCTAATAATCACAGCCAAACGTGGCCTGGAATAGGCAAACACGCTCTAAAAACTAACTTCCGAAACTCTTGTTTAAATAGCATTACCTTAATATCTGAATAAACTCTCGTTGTCTCATTTACATTCTGGCATGAAAAGCCTGGGTGAAGACAGGGTAATAGGAAAGGTTTATCAATTTTAAAATGAACTATTAGTTAAAAATAAATAGATAAACCTCACATCTTTTCCTGACAGAATTTAAGTACATGAAAAAGAGGTCCTTTAACGACCTCGTTAAAAGCTTAAATTCTAACTACACTGATTATCATAAATTAAGGAAAAATAACAAAAATCACGATTATTGAAAAAGTTACATGTAGAATTTAATGAAACTTACCCACAATATACAACACATAGTAAGGTATCAAATAACATAAGAAATTACCAGACAAATATGGTAGTATAGAAATTAGCACATGTTTAAAATGAACAAATAGAAGGTGTCAGCTTGCTATAGGAGAAGTACCTTCAATATGGAATATGATCGCCTCTAGAAGCAATACAGCGATGTGTGATGCTTTCAATTATGCGATCTATCAGTTCCATACGAAGCGAGAGCCATTGCTCTTGCAAAGCAGTTGCAAGCGCGACAAGGATTTGAGGGGGCGGATTGAGAGCAGCTAGACGTCTCCCTAAAGCATCCCAAACGTGCTCGACAGGGTTCAAGGTCCGGGGATCGAGCTGGCCACTCCATGCGCACAATTGTTTCCTGTTGAAAATAATCATCTACGATGCGAGCCCTGTGTGGTCTTGCGTTGTCATGCTATAACAGGAAAGCATCACCTATTGCCCCGGCATATGGGAGCACATAAACATCAAGGATGTCATCTCTGTAAATCTGAGCATTCACGGTTTCCCTTGGAAAGACATGGAGGTCTGTACGTCCACCCAAAGAGATGCCACCCCAAACACAGACGCTGCCCCTTCCGTATGCATCTCTTTCACGGATGATAACGGGTTCTAGGTTCTCTCCATATCAAATAACGCCTACTATCGCTTTCTAGACTAAACCTGGACTCATCCGTAAAGAGAACCATTGATCAGGCTTCCAGTGGTCATGTTGTCGTGCCCACTGAAAACGGTCCCTCCCATGGCGTGACGTGAGCGGCACACAAATGGCTGGTCGCCTCGCATACAGACCACCTTCGTGAAGCCTTCTACGCACAGTTGACGTTGACACGAACCTTCCAGTTGCTGCAGCAAGGGAGAATCTAAGAAGAGTCGGAGTAGCGGTTCTATTCCTGCGTGCACATAATGTCAAATATCGGTCATCGGCGCTCGTCGTAGCAGTTGGCCGTCCTTGGCTGAACCTCCTATATGCCGAATCTGTGGTTTGAAATTGCCTCCAAAGTCTATGAACCACAGAAGGACTCACATTTAGCCATCTGGCCACTTCTGTTTGACTTTGTCCTGCCTCTAGTCTCCCAATGGCTCTCCATCGCAGTTCTGCAGGCAAATGATGCCTGGAGGTCATTGTTACGAATTGGCAATCTCAGATTTCTGATGTCACTGTCACAGTGAAGTACGTGGGCTTGCTCTCAAACATGGATTTTTATGCTCCTCGCAGATGACGTATTCCGAAAGCAGCGCCATATCGCAGGTTTACTCAGCTACTCTTACTTGGCAACATATTCAAATTTTACACGGTTTAGCTTATTTTTGAGGGAGTTATCGCTATTTTTGTGATTTTTCCTTAATTTATGATAACCAGTGTATCTAAATTACCTAACCTTACCAGAGCCCACCTCTTACAATAAAATTAGATATTAAGTAATTAAATGTAAAAATTCAATTTTTGTGTTTACGAGGATCTTGATTCTCTTCTTAGCAAGTACGACATTTCAGCTGCTCAAATCCTTTCAGAAAATCTGAAACGGAAAAGACTTTACCAAAAGCTCTACAAACATGATCTAAACTTTTCACATCGTTATTAATTTTCTTTGTACTTTGTACTTTCACATTTATTCCACAATTAAATCTCTTCCCCCCCCCATACTCTCCAGAGAAAATGGAGTGTAGAACTGAAAACAGTGTCTTTTGCTTTTTTTACAGACACTACCAACTAACCACAATCTAAAAATTATTAAAATTTGACACACGAGACCTCAAGGACTCCGTATTTACAAAACTGCACCTAATTTGCTAAACAGAGCTTGATTTAAGTTAAGTGTTGGCTGAAGAGCCTAACTTACTCATGCACACAACTAAATTTACTTAAGTTCTTTCGATCTGTAAGTCTGCAAGCACATTTCATTCATACAATAGAACTAAATTCTTGTAACTAAGCAAGTAACAAAACATATATTTGCGAATACTTTTCACAATAAAATAAAATACATTGAACAACGATTTACAATAGAATTCAACTTGCACGGGGATTGACTCAGGAGAATTCCTGAGAAGTACTGGATAGGATCTGTACATAGACAGTTTCAACCACGAGAGTATAAAATCATTCTTCACAGGCTATGTCTGAGTTTACTCGGGATGGTGTATGGCTCGGCAGGAGCCGTACTGGTAATGTCTTGTTTGCCCTTGAGCCGTGGGGTCAAGACATTGTGGATAAATATGTGGCAGGACGGCACTTAATCGGTAAATCAACCTTAGAACGGAAGTTGTCTCGTCACCAGAGTTCTCACTAAATGTTATCGTCCTGTGTATATTTAAAGAAATTAAATATCGAAAAATCTGCATAAATGTTTCTCGCATTGTGATAAAACAACGGTACCTAGACCCATCAAATTTTGAATAATTTACGTTTCCAACCGAATATGGGCACCTGGAAGCCCAAATTTGGAATTATGAATTTGTTTTATTATCTGTTTCATATTTTGTAAAACTTAAACGAATTTTTGATTAACAAACTCAAAGATTTCAAGGCGAGCAATGGCAACACAGTACGGAAAAAAAAAAACATTTTACCTCCAAAGCGCGAAACTGTGTATTGGAAATTCTATAGTTATGCTCATTTAAGAACTATTTTGCCATATTGCTGTTGACTGAATTGTATGGTTTAAGTGCGAAGAGCATGATATTTGATAAATGAAGGTAACACACAAAACGTTAAAAAAACGCCCCTTTGGGTGTAATGTACACTCATGTCCATAAATTAAGGATAATTCGGAGTCACGCGGAAATCGAACTCTAAAATAAATATATCACCTGTAAAATCACTACACACATCTTCAAGAATGATATGCAAATTTCAGTAAGTAACCAGATGACACCGATGGTACGTCACAATGACGAGAGTGTAAGAGGGTGATATATAAGGAATACAGGGAAAGAAGTAAAATTGTTCGCAGGCGCTTTCTAAGCATTTCAGTGCAATAACCGAATAGTTATGACACAAAGGACGCATTTGGATGATTTTTTACGTGGTAGAATTATCGGCCGTCTGGAATATGGGCGCACCCAACTGGAAGTATCAGACGAACTTGGAATTGCCCAGAGTGTCATCTCCAGGCTTTGGCAACGATTCCAAGATGATGGTAATGTGAGTAGACGTTACAGCACAGGTCGCCCCAGAGTTACAACGCCGAACTGGTATTTGGCAGTTACTGCCAAAAGAAACAGGCGGAGCACAGCCTCAGACCTGTCTCGTCAGCTCTCTTCAGCCACTGGTACGACAATTTGAAGGCAGACCGTGTACAGACGCTTAGGGCAGATTGGTCTATATGCTCGTAGACCTGTCAGATGCGTTCCACTTACTGCAACTCACTGTCGCCTGCGGTTAGCCTGGAGTAGAGAGCATGCATTGTGGACACCGCAACAGTGTCCACAAACATCACACACATGCATGTGTGATGTTTTCCGACAAGTCCAGGTTTAGCTTGCAGTCTGATTCTCGCCGGACTTTCATATGGAGAGCTCCACGTACCCGTTACCACCAAGAAAACATCATTGAACGACACCGTTACGGTGGTGCAGGAGTGCTCGTTTGGAGTGGAATTATTCTGGGTTCCAGAACTGATCTGCATGTTCAAATTGGAACCATGACAAGCCAAATCTGTCGGTACGTCATTCTGAAACAACATGTACGTTTGTTTCGGGGCGCCATGGGCGCACAATTTGTGTTTATGGATGACAACGCCCGTCCTCACCGTGCAAACATCGTAAGCGAATGCCTTCAATCGGAGGATATCACCCGTATGGACTGGCCAGCATTCTCACTGGACTTGAATCCAGTACAGCACGTGTGGGACATGGTTGGCCGACGAGTTGCAGTCCGTCAACCTCCTACATGTTTACCGGAACTTCGGAGAGCATTGCTTTTTAGCGGTGTAATATGCCCCAAGATCAGATCCATAATTTGATACTCAGCATGCCTAGGCGTTGTACGGATTGTATTGGATCGTCTGGGAGACATACAATCTATTAACAATCATACCAACTATGTAAT